AGTTTTGGAAAAGTCATGGAAATGTAACTTAAGTTGAATCAAATATCATTTATATTTTATCTAATCGCCGAAATAGTAATACTATAATAATACTGTATTGTATAGAAATGAAATGGCATTTAACTGTCGAGGTGTTTTGCTGGTGAGAGATTTTAGTTGCTTCAGCCTGTAGAAGCTAGTAAGCCAACTATTTGATTTGTTTTAGATAGACAGAACATGTTTCATATGCAGACCTTATTTTCCTGTTCCATGTTAAAATAAACCATTTTCAGTTGTACCGCTGAGAAAGAGTAATTTTTTTGGTCATGGAAAATTAGGTAAAGGTCATGGAGAAGTCATGGAAAAGTCATTGAAAATTATTGGTGAAGAAGTGTATGAACCCTGAATCAATCAATCTACAACTTTATTAATCCCGCAAGGGGCAATTGGCTATGAGCAGCTTATGTCATGTACACAGGCAGGAACATACAGGAAGAAAACACACAGATACACCCGGGAGCACAGATGTGGATCATTCCAATTTACACGATAAATAGTTCATAGCATCACAATAATAAATAAATAATCAAGTTAAAAAGCTTTCAATAATTTACAAGTTTGAGTGCAGAAGGGATGAATGATTTTGTAAAGCGATTAGTCTTAAGAGCAGCTAGAGCATATCTACTCCCTGATGGCAACAGACGAAATTCATCTGCAAGAACACGACCTGGAGGCTGGAATGCTCTCTGCTTTCTGCAGAATCTGTACAAAAGACACCAGTACCAACAGGACAGTTAGCCACATATCAACAATGTTGTCATGCTGTGGATGGAGTCCTAACACTGGCCTGTGTACACACAAGAATGGGAAACAATGATAAATATCAGCAGCGACCAATTTGCCTAAAATGGGCCCTAAGCAGCTATCCATTCAGGGAGTTATACACCCGTTGTAAGTGTATGTTTATTGTAAGTTCGATGAAGCTCAACAACATCACAACACGGTAAAATGACCTTCCTCCAACATTATGCACTGTAGTGTTGTTGTGTAATGCCACGGAGTTAAAGAAAAAACTGGCCGATGTTACTTACGCTCTAATTTCTGCTATATATGCACCCAAAGCTATTGGCTCCATTATATAAACAATGGAGAGTTTATTTGGACGATTATTAAATTGATTCTACTTGCAAACTTCTTTGTATATATAGGAGCTTTTTGAATATCCGCATGTGTCCTTTCCCCCAGGTGCTGGCCACCCTGACATGTGTGGAACGGTGGGTGTGTGTAAATATCATCAGGCTGCTTCGTGAGGAGAACACGGTGCCGTTCATGGTCCGCTACCGCAAAGATATGATCAATCACATGGACGCTGACGCTGTCCGAGACGTCCAGCTGGTATATGAAGAGTTAGGGTAAGCAAATAAAACGTCTTGAACTAAGCAATAAAAACAAGGAAATTAATGCACCTCATAATCTGACAAACACTCATTATTGGTGTGTAGAAGCAATTTAAGTACAGAGTTCCATACAGCTGTTACCATGAGATGACTTCTCATATGAGCTGAGGACTTAATTCATTTCCGGACAGCAGATTTTAATTTGGCCACTAGATGGTGCTATTGCTCAAGCTTTGGGTCATGAAACAGTATCAAACTTGTGTATCACTGGCATGTGTGTTACTCTGTGTTAATATTTTGCACTGTATATCATCTTTTTTTTATGTTTGTGTTCAGCACCCTTTCCAAGAAGACCCAGTCTGTGATTCAGACCCTGAAGAAAGACGGGGTTTTAACAGTCGAGCTGGAACAAAACCTGAGGAGCTGCCGATCAGCTGATCAACTGGATCATGTGGTCAGAATCACATTATTATTCCAAAGCAATATGTGTCCTTTGAAATGTTATTTGGAGATCCAATTCTTATTTCCATTCTTAATTTTGGAAACCTGATGATACGCTTCTCTTTACCACTCATCTCAGTTCACTGTTTCTGTGTGTGTCTGTAGTATTCTCCCTATAAGAAAGGCAGCAAGCTGACGAAGGCTCGCCGGGCCAAAGCCCTCGGTCTTGAGGATGCCGCCTCTTTACTCATGAACACACCACACACTCTTGATTTAAGGACATGGGTAAAACCTGGTACTGAAGGTAAGGCATACACACAAAGTGGTGCATTTTGATGTGATTCATTCAACATAGCACTTACATTTAACATACATCTTGGACAATACATTTGCTCTTTATTGTACTGTTTTTAAGTAAAGTATTTGTGTGTAAGGTCTGTCATCAGTGGAAGAAGTGTCCACAGGTGTGGAGCATATCTTAGCAGATTTGATCGCCAAAGACCCTGAGACACTCGCCTATGTGAAAACATTGTGAGAACCTACCTACATGCACACACTATTTCTACACTGATGTTTCATTTCTATAGTTGTCTGTGTTATTTTGACGTTGGTAGTGTATTGAACCTGCCACATTGATAATAATCCAGTGCCCTCCTCTACTTTCTCTCCCTCTCTGTGTTTACCTCTTGCTGTGACAGGTGTGAGAACAACTTTGTGACCATCCAGTCGTCTGTGTCCAAGTCTGCACTTAAGGAGAAGGAGCAAAACTCTGTCCAAGATCACAAAAAACCAGGGGCCAAGCAAAACAAAAAAATGGACATTGACAAGTTCCACCTATACGTTGACTTCACCTCCAACATCCAACGCATCCAGCCCCATCAGGTAGAAACACAGACCTGTTTATGGTTCCCTTTTTCCCTCCTTCCCTGTTTTCTGGTACTCTTCGTCGTTGAAATTCACTAGAGCAGTTGGGATATTATTATCTAGCTAAATGGTTAGCACTGGTGTTTTGTCGGAAAAGTTTCTCCCTACCCTTTGGCTAATTTTACATATAGAAACTTAAAGTTAAAAAACACCTAAAACACCTTCAAGAACAAAGTAACAGCATATATGGTATAACACACATAAAAGTACTACACAGCCTTAAGAAAAATGTATTGTATGATGATTATTTTAGCAATATACAAATGATTTGTGTATGCTGGACTATACTTAGTGTCTTCATCTGCACACACACACATATACAAACAAATGCGCACCATCTGTTTGTGTTTGTGTCATTTCTGTCTGCTTCATCTGTGCTGCTTTTGAATGCTAGCCATGTCAGTCACAGTTAGCCTTGTCTGTGCCTCCATATTTCCCCCTCCTGTGCCCCGCTCTGCCTCCTCTACTCCCCCCCGTCCCTCTAGTGACTAGTGTGTTACTCAGAGTTGGTCCCGGGCCTCATGTGTCACCACAGCTTCCATCAGCCGCTGCCTCTCTGCCACATCACACTCTCTGGCAACCCCTTTCTGCCCTACAGTCATACAAACACATAAACATACATGCAAGCACACACACTTGCTCACAAACAAGCACACCCTGCAAGTCCCCTCATTCTCTCCTCTTAACATATGTGACATGTCCCCTGCCGACATGCCATTGGATTAGGAGGCTTTGATTGACAGGCGCTCTTCTGTAGTGACAGCTACTGCTGCTGGGCCTAAAGGCGGACGGAGGGATGGGGAGAGGGGGTGGCAACGGGAGGGAGAGGCTGAACAGATGAGTGACGTTGAGGTGCCTCCGTCACTTATCTCTGCTTGGCTCTGACCTCCCTCCCTCCCTTCTCTCTGACTAAACCTCAGCCCTCCAATCCACTCCACACCTCCCCTCTTCCCCTCTTCCCCTCTCCTGCTCGGTTTATGAGAGACCTTTAATTCATGACTTGCCTTTGTCATGGAGCGTTAATCCACAGGCTGCTGTGACCTGCTAGCTGTCGGATTCCGGCTAAAATGAACCTTTTCTAGCCGTCAAGCTGTCATGAAGGGGGAGCAGGTGGGAGATGTGTTTTGACAGGAGGCATGTGTGTGAGCACACACTTGCCCGTTCGCTTTAGCACATTTTATTAAGCCTCACTACTGGTGGTTTAACGAGAAAGCACGAGGCATTTGTGAAGGGGGCGAAAAGCAAACATTTAGAGTTGGTCCAGTGAACATGCAAAGTCCCCCCGTCAGATATGACCAGTAGCCTGTAGTGGCTGAAAAAAAAGGTTAGATACAAATTCATTTTTCATATATCTTATGTCAAAAAATGCTTGGAATGATAAATTAAATACATTCTAAATTGTGGTTTCGTAAATGATTTATGATAAGTCTTACAAAGACAAATATGTTGTATTGAGACATTGGTAATCCTAAAAATAGAATCATTTAACTTCAGGTACTTATTGTCTGCCTTATATGCATTCTGGGTGTAAAGAAGGCAGCTTTTATTATTTTGTATTTCCTTAATTTTTTTATTCTCAATACATTTGCCAATTTTCTTGTTTTGTCCAACTTATATTTGAAAACCAAAAAAAAAACGTTGCAATTAAATAAGACAATGAAACAGGCAAAGTCTCAGTTTATAAGCAAGAATAAGCAAATGTTTGGCATTTTTGCTTACAAAATATATTTTTTAATGTATTAGTAAAATAGTAGCCAATAAAGTTTAAATCGAGTAATTTACTGTCAGATTAGATACATTATTTAACTCCTAAACTATAATTTTTAGAGTCATGAAATCTAATAATACCACAGATATATGACTGTAGTATAATGATCTAACTATTTCATACATTTATCTAAATGAGTCTTTACCAATCTCTGGTATACAGCAAGACTTAAATCCATTTGACGTTTCTAGTCGAGATGCTTAGCTCAGATTGAATTCCGTCAGATTTGATTTGAACTCTTCTTCTTCAGAGGGTCCACATTCACCTCATAGCTATTAGCAGCCGGGACGCTCTCGATTATGCCAGGGTGGATTTGCTGAATGAGTGGGCTATTTTTAATTCGATTTGCGTTGTGATCAAATGGTAGTTTAGCGCTTTAGAGTGGGGCTCGCCTGCAGAGGAGCTTAGATAAATGGAAATGTTTAATCAATTTAACACTTATTTTTGATGGACAGGTGGAGAAAAACATGTTAAAGAATGTGTCAATGTCTGTATTGGTCTTAATGCTGTGGAGGTTAACAAAAGAGTACACATTGGTCTGCTTTCTTTTTGTACTTAGTAATATACAT